TTTATAGATCTAAAATTTCAAACCAATCAATTTAAAGATAATGTCTCATTCACACGTGTGTATTTTTCAAATCAAATTTGAAAATGCATTTTCTCTTTAATATCAAATAAATATATTAATTAAAATTTACACATGCCATGCATGACCCATGTGTGAGTTAATTAAGACATGTGATACAAAGGAGGCCTTAATCTATAACATTATATAATAAAATATAACAATATATAACAAGACACCATAACACAACCCCTTATAAAACAAGCAACAAAATACCAATCTGGTCCCCTACCTAGGGATCAATGCCCAGCTAGGTGGTGATCTTCGTGAGAGGTGTGGGGTGCCATGTGGCAGCCCTATGGCCACTCGGAAGCCAGATGGCACGACCAGGTCAGGACTAAAGTGGAATTTCAATCAAACAATATGAAAACCCTCATTTTTTTATCAAATAAAATTTCGAAAAATTATCTAAAACTCATAATAAATATTTAAAGTATTTTTGAGCAATTATAAGGTTTTTCTCATCATTATAAAATCGGACAAAAGACATAGTGAGATCTCAGGCTAATAACTATAGGTATCGGAGTACTCCATTGGGCTAGTCCCGAATGATGTTCCGTCGAGTCTCAGCTCGACTCAATAGACCTATGTTCCATAGTCTAAAGTTGTCACACCCCAAGAATTTACAATACTATTATTCCTGAGATGTGCCGGACAAAACATATATACATCTATTGATAGGACAAATTTACAGTGGCGAGGTCTTACATAGTAAGTAAAGAAAGCTAGCACAACAACAGTATCGTATAACGAGAATGATGTGCTTCTTCTAAGATAGCTTTCTTTACACTCTCATCATTTGGGACACAAACCCGGCCTTTGAATCTTAGCAAATCCTCACTACATATAGAGAATTCATCTCTCTGTCCTTGCTTCACCTCTTCTATAATTGTTATAAGCTGAGGGTCTTTCTTTTGTGCCAATCCCGAATCTGTTGGATTAATTGGGGTTCCGCCTTAATGTTGGCAATCATACTTACCACACCATTAATGGACGGAGTTGGATGCCAATCCACTATTTCCTCTAACAATCGCATTTCTTGGATCATT